CCTCAGTGTTCTGAGAGTCAAACTGAGTAGAGCTGGAATCGGCGCTCTGAGTCTCCGGGTAGTGAAACTCCATCGAGGCGCGGGTCGTCTCGGTGATCCAGCTCACCACCGATTCTCGAGGTGGGACATTCTGCTGTTGCTGACTGCGAAGATGGCGACGTTCCATGACTGCTGCTGATTCTTAGAAGCGGATTTCGAAATTAGAATCGGACAAATCTGGTCAACAGAAAGAAGCGGTCTGATTTAGTTGCTGCTGCTGTCGCTGTCGACAAGTGAACTTGCTTACCGGGCTATATAACAGAAATGTTGTCAGTGTTGGATCTCCCCTCCCCCTTTTATTCTGTTGGATCGCAAGGGAGCATCCAAAAGTGGTGATGCAAGAAGAAGGCAAAGTGTGTGTTCTCGTCGGCTGGCAAACACACTGTCTGTCAACACCAAAACTGTGCAAGTGAAAGTTGCGCTCGTAAAACGCAACGGATTTGTGTGATCATTTTTTTTTTTGAAAAACAAAACAGGTGCGCCCTCAGGCGAGAGCGCTTCAAGACTGCAAGTTGGGCAAACAGACGACAACAACAACCAAAAAGGAAATTCTTCACCGACTTACTGACCCGGAAGAATCATAAAAGAAGCATCACGAATTTTTACTTGACCATTGTGAAGGTGATAAACACAACAATGACAACAAGATAGTGAAAACAATGGATGACTAAAGATGATGACTTCTACAGTGAAGGAGTGAAGGAGTGGTAGTGGTGGTGGTCCACTGGAGTGTGAGATCAGCAGTTTCAGTGGGGAGAGTGTAAGTTAAGTCTTTGAAGATCGGAATTCCGTGTGTGTTACACACACACAAATCACCGCGGCCAAACACAGCGTCATCTACAAAGCGTACAGCTGGTCCCTGCGCCACAGCTCCGTCGAGGCGGCGGCGGCGTCGGCGTCCTTTTGATCACAAACTGTGCTGGATCGGCGTTGAAGCACAGACTTTGATTCCCGGTGGTGGCCACTACCACCACCACCACCACCACCAATCGGCAGCGGCAGGAGCCAGAGAAAGACGGAGATGTAGCCGCAGGTGGCGCGCAGGGCCCTCAGCCGGCCTCGCTTCGGGCCCTTTCGCCCGTTCAGGCGCTCGTGGTTCGTCTGGTCGTTGAAGATGCCAGTCACCTGGTCGCAGAGGACGGCGACGCTGAAGATGCCGAAGATGACGGAGGCGAGGACGAGCAGGGCGACGTGAATACTGCTGTGAAGAAGCGGGGGAAAGAGAGAAAGTATAGGAATTAGAACATTTAGAACTTCCTTAAAAAGAGCGTTCACTTGCATCTTCATCGGCGGCGAGGGCACGCTCGAGTAGAGGCATGATATGATGATGCAGGCGATCGTGTAGACGCTGCCGATGCCTGGGAGGAGAAGAAGAAAATGAATGAGATGAGATTTAGACTTTAAGGGAAAACCAAAGGCGGACAAGATGAACTCACAGGCGTACGACGTAAACTGCAGAAAGTACTTCTGATTGAACTCGCCGACGCAGTTGTTGATCCACGGACAGTGGTGGTCACGGAGGAGGATGCACCGCCGACAGATGTGACAGTGGTGGGCCCGGGGTGGGCGGTAGACGTTGCAGAAGCGACAGAAAGTCCACTCAAACTCGCCGATGTAGCTCCGAGGAGGCGGCGGAGGAGGGCGCGGAAAGGGAGGACGGGGCCCCGGCTGGTGCTGCTGCTGCTGAAGATGCTGAAGATGCTGCGGCCTCATCGTCTGAACCTCCCGCACGATGTTCATGATGCTGCTGCTGTGGCTAGGGCTGCTGTTGATGTGGGCGGCGGCCGCCCCATTGTGGATGCTCCCACCGCTGACGCCGCTGCCACCGCCGGTGCTGCTGCTGCTCGTGTCGGGAGAGCTCTGGTGGTAGACTTTGTTGTTGTGTAGGCTCGAGGGAAGAATGTCTGAATTGTGAAGAAAGCTTGGTCAATTTAGAACTTTAAATCAGATCACCGATCACCCAGATCACTTACATTCCACTTCACAGGGACTTGAGCAGCCTGCGGGCGATCCATCTGCTGCCGTAGCAGCAGCATTATTCGCCGCCTGCTTCAGCTTCGCCTGCTTCAGCTCCAGCGTCAGGTCGACGGTGCCCGGATCGGAGCAGAGGCACATCAGGTGCGACCAGATGAGCATGAGGAGGACCACCTGGTAGCCGGCGGCGAGAATGTAGAAGCTGAGCAGTTGTCTGGGCAAAAGATATGGAGGGTAGAAAAAGCTGTTAGTCAAGCTGAAAAAAAGTTATGATCACTTTAATCACACTTACTCCTGATCAATGGCCAGTATCTGGAAGACGCACACGTAGTCGACGTAGCCGATGAGCAGGTAGAGAAAGAGAAAGCAGAAGATGCCGAAAAAGTCACACCTGCAGCCCATTTTGTTTAGGTGGTCGTCGTCGTCGTCGTTTCGGTGTTGGGCGCCTTACTGAACTGGCGCACCACCGCCACCTCAATCTAACAGAGAAACTGCCAGTCAGTCTTCTTGGAAAGAGGCGATAAGAAAGAAGAAGAAGAAGAAGAAGGATGCAGATGACCACCGAGAGCTGATGCAGCTACGGGCGCATGTTGCTATGGTGGCGAGAGATGAGGCGAGACAGCCAAGAGAACTAGAACCATCACAATAGAGTGGCCCAATTTCTATTTCTCCTGCTACTGCTGCTGCTGCTGCTGACGAAAAGAGAACCCGAAAATCAGAGTACCGTCCTCTTCTCTTTTCTTCTTTCTCTTTCCAATCGTGCATTTCTTCACTCTTCTCCTATGCAGGTCGATGGTGGTGGTGGTGGTGGCATTGCAAAAGTACTGTCAACATTCCCGTGCAGCCAAAACGGGTGCCACTGCTCCTCGCAAACGAACGGACGGAAGAGAATTCTTCTTGTTCGCTGTGGCACAGCTGCTGCTATACAGTTCCACCCTTGTTACCAAGGCGAACAGCGACGGTTCCCTTTCGCACAGCAGCCTAACTGGTGCGACGACGGTGGCGAAGACGGGTGAGGACGGGCACTCTAATTAAGGGAGGGGGAGGGGAAGAAAAAAATGTCGTCGTTAATTACCCGAAAAGAACAAGGTCAGAAGACGGCGACCAGATTTGATTACCGTTCTCAGCTAGCAGTAGTAGTAGAGAGCCTTCAGCCAGTGGTCAGCTTTTCAAAACAAAAACGCTCCCGCCGCCACTGCTTTACCCGCCAAAAGGGGGCGCCCGGCTCGATACTTCGATACTATCGATTGGCGGTGCAGCATCATCGCAGCGGCAGACACCTTCTCACGGTGGACATTTGTCCGAAATGGAAAGTAACGCGCACCATCATCCAGGCACTTCTATCAATATCATCAGTCTTGGGCGTTAGTCATCTGACCACCACTATCACCACCACCACCACCACCAACTGAAAGCAGCTCTGTTCACTCAAGTTCGCCTCCGACTCTCAAGGTGAGGGCGATAAGAGATATCAGTTGGTGGAAAAGGGAGTGACAGAGCAGGATATCAGGGTGGGCGCCGCCTTTGAACTGTGTTCGTACAGTTGTACAGTCGGTGAGGTGGCCTGCCACGGCAACGCGCCAGCACTACAAAAGCACGGCGAGTACAGCTGTCTCCTTCCTTTTCCCTTCTGCCGCCTCGCCTGAGAAGACCTCGTGTCTGAGTCTGATCTGAGTGTCTTTCTTCTGCTGCTCTTGGCCTTCAATTTCTCTCTTGACCCCAATCTCACCACCCCTTCAGCACAATGATCATCTTCAAGGATCTGATTACCGGTAAGTGCTGAAAGTGCCCATTTCCCAATTCGCTTTGATTTGGATCAACACTGACTAACCTGTTTGATTTTCTTCCCTTCGCCTTTGTCTGCCTGTTGTTTAGGTGACGAAATGTTCACCGACTCGAGCAAGGTCAAGCTCGTCGACGACTGCATCTGGGAGGTGACGTGTAATGTAAGTTCTACCTTTTGTTTTTGTGAAATTCTCGAAAGAATTCTCACCCATTCATTCTTCTCTCCTGCAGTACGTGATGCGCAAGCACGGCGATGTGGCCATCGACGGCTTCAACCCCTCCGCCGAGGGCGAGGACCTCGATGAGGGCACCGAGGAGGTGAGCGAGTCCGGCTACGACATCGTCCTCAACCAGCGCCTGCAGGAGACCAGCTACAGCAAGGCCGACTTCAAGCTCTACCTGAAGAACTACACCAAGAACCNCTACCTTTTGTTTTTGTGAAATTCTCGAAAGAATTCTCACCCATTCATTCTTCTCTCCTGCAGTACGTGATGCGCAAGCACGGCGATGTGGCCATCGACGGCTTCAACCCCTCCGCCGAGGGCGAGGACCTCGATGAGGGCACCGAGGAGGTGAGCGAGTCCGGCTACGACATCGTCCTCAACCAGCGCCTGCAGGAGACCAGCTACAGCAAGGCCGACTTCAAGCTCTACCTGAAGAACTACACCAAGAACCTGATGGAGAAGTGGAAGGAGCTGGAGTGGAGCGAGGAGAAGATCAACGACGCGAAGGCCAAGCTGACGAACGCCGCCAAGAAGGTCCTGCCCATCGTCGGCGACGCCAAGTTCTTCATGGGTAAGTCGACTGTTTTTTCTTTGTTTGTTTGTTTTAGTCCACTGATTCTAATTCTCTATTCTATTCTATTCTACCTTTTCAGGCGAAAGCACCAACCCCGACGGCATCATGGGCATTCTCGAGTTCCGCGATGGCGACGATGGCAACGAGATCGCCATCATGAACTTCTTCAAGCACGGCCTCGAGGAGGAGAAGGTCTAAAGATGAAGCCACCTTCTCTTACCGAGCTGAGAACACTCCACCAACTCCAACCACTCAGCACGCCAGTGTATTTACAATTTATTATCATCAATTGAAGAAGAAGAAGCAGAAGCAGAAGGAACACTCTTTTTAACTCACTCCAAACGTTCACTCTCA